GCAGACAGAAGGATGCTCCAGGGCAGCCATTCTCAACAAGGATTCTGTGAAACCGTAGGGTTCCTTGAGTTGTGACCGGTTGACCTTCCATGTGATGTGCCTGCATGGTTCCAGGTCCAACGCTACATGGCAAAGCCAGCAGCATGATACCAAAGATCATTTTACAAGGCACTATTCCTCCCAGTGACACAATGGATGGAGGACTATTCATCCCACTTGCACCATAGATGGGGCACTATTTCCTCCCACTGACATGAATAATGGGGATTATTTTTTCACTTATACCAATGATGGCACACTATTCCTCCTAATAATACCAGTGATAGGGCACTATTCCTCCCACTAATACCAATGATGGGGTACTATTCTTCCCATTAATACCAATAATGGCACACTATTCCTCCTACTAATACCAGCATTGGGGCACTATTCCTCCCACTAATACCAATGATGGGGTACTATTCTTCCCATTAATATCAATGATGGCACACTATTCCTCCTAATAATACCAGCATTGGAGCACTATTCCTCCCACTAATACCAATGATGGGGCACTATTCCTCCCGATAATACCAATGATGGGGCACTATTCCTCCCGATAATACCAATGATGGGGCACTATTTCTCCCATTGATACCAATGATGGGGCACTATTCCTTCCACTAATACCACTGATGGCACACTATTCCTCCTACAAATACCAGTGATTGGGGCGCAATTCCACTAATACCAACAATTGAGCGTTATTCCTCCAACTAATACCAATGATGGGGTACTATTTCTCCCACTAATACCAATGATGGGGCACTATTCCTCCCACTAATACCAATGATGGGGCACTATTCCTCCTACTAATACCAGTAATGGTGCACTATACCTTCTACAAATGTCAGTGATGGGGCACTATTCCTCCCACTGATAACAACGATGAGGCACTATTCCTCCCACTGATAACAACGATGGGGCACTACTCAATCCAATGACACCAACGATGGAGATTATTCTTCCCACTAATACCAATACTTCCTATTGTCCACATGCGTTATGTAATTATTTTACCCCTGCTCACCACCAAGTCTGAGGCATTTTCTACTTCCACTGGCCACAGTCCAGCCCTCCTAAAGTCTGAAGGACAGTAAACTGGCCCTTTGCTGAGAAAGTTTGGAGACCCCTGATCCAGGGGTTTTCCTGTCCCATGTTTTTCCTAGAGTCGCCTAGGAAACAGGCAACTGAAAGTCGCTAGTTAGTTCTGATGACCAGTAAGGTCTGTCATCTATAAACACCTTCAACGTGGCCATTGAACCTTACCAAATCCATGTTCGCATTTCCAACTCTTCAGATACAAACAATCAGCAGTGACGACATCAACTGCTGCTCTTTCATGAGGTCTTTACTTAAATTAAATTATTAATTTTTTCATTTAGAAGAAAACATCATGATTTAGACTAAAAAAAAAAAGTGTTGGCTGTAGATATACTTTAAAGTCAGTGTTTGACTTTGGGTTCATTTGAGGTTTTTATTCGAAAATAAGTGCAATTGCTTCTGTAATACGCAAACAGGCTTGAATAGAATATGAATATACATCAGACACAAAGAGCAAAACAACATGACAATCAGCAGTGACATCACCAACCAATACTTTCTCGAGGTCATTAATTCAATTAACTAAATTTCATTTGGAGTAAAACAACACGATGTAGGCTGGATCCATGAAAATGAATGCTCTTGTAAACAGAATAAGTCACTTTTTTAATTTAGTCAGAGGCAGTACCAAGCAATGCTACTTTCATTTGTCTAAATTACAGTATGTCATGTGTTTCATCAGCCTGGGATTGTAATGAAGACAGTGATCATCTCTCATCAGCTGCATTGCTCCAAACTATAAGGCCTTAGTAGAAAATATCTGCTGTTCGAAATCTGAATAGTTGCTAAGGGCTACAAAGCTTTGCACATCATCAGTGCTCCTTGGACTGACTTATAAAATAGGTCAGATGGTTGCAACGGACAACAGCTTTACTTCTGTTCCAATATTCATCAATCAGGCCCAGTATGACATGTGACTGATTGATTGCTTAGACAGAGGCAGCCAATCAATATCTCCTTCCACATGGTTGAATGGAAGTGAAAGGGAGACAATGGCCAATCAGATTGCGACGACCCTGCCCCTGGAGAGAGATAAGTATCTGAAGGACCTGTATGGCCATTTTTAAATGATAGCCACAAGGAAACTGAAAAACTTAAAGTAAGTTTTTGACTTTAGGCACGCTTTAGATTTTTAATTAAAAAGGAGTTTGCTAAAAATTTGCAATTGCAAGTCACAAAGAAATATAAAGCAAAAAGGCAGCGCTCCTCCTTAATATAATCTCAAAGTGCTGATACAAATCTAAATAAATCCTTAAACCAAAAGTGTATAGAAATCAATATGATATATCTATCTCAAAAATAGTAAATTATCTCCAGCAAAAAGTGCCCTTTTACAACTTATTCAATAAATCAAGAATGTGGGAGAAAAAATATATAAAATGTCCAAACACCATACAAAAATAAAATATATGTATAAGTGCTTTTATCTTCAATATTCATGTGTGTTTTTTTCACATGCAGTTTGAATATTGAAGATAAAAGCAATAATACATATATTTTATTTTTTATGGTGTTTGAACATTTTATATATTTTTTTTCTCCCACATTCTTGGTTTATTGAATAAGTTGTAAAAGGACACTTTTTGCTAGCCAGTAAGATAACTCCACCACGTTTTTCTTTAGCTTTACCATTTCCTGGATAACCTCCCTATTAATTAGAGATAATCCTCTCCAATCAGTGGGAAGCATGAGCTTTGATTTTTGCAGCACTTATAGGTTTAACTAAGCAGTGGGAGTGCTGGACCTCTTCAGAGAGACTACTGATTCCATGCAGAGAGCAGGTAGCATGCTGGCAGGAGACAGGCTTTTCTACTCAGAATCTGGTTGCTTTAAAAAACAAAACAACTATCAGGGCTCATTCACACCTGCCCACTCCACTGCAGTGGGTTAATCGGACACGTGTTAAAGCGCCTTTTGTCATTCATTTAATTTAGTCGCCCAGCACAAACATCATGCTTGCGGCATTTGGGACAGCGGAGCACACTGCAAAGCACATTATTGCTTTGTATTCAGAATGGGGGGTTCTGGGAGATCACAAGCTTAATAATGACATGCAATGCCAAGCTGCGGTTTCTAAAGCGATCAAAAGCCTCTCTTGTATTAAAAGAGGTATAGACTCCAGAGAGAGAGATATCATATTACCCCGGTACAAATCATTACTAATACCTCACCTGGAATATGCAGTTCAGTTTTGGGCACCAATTCACCAAAAGAACATTGGGGAACTGGAGAAAGTACAGAGAAGGGCAACCAAACTAATACGAGGCATGGAGGAGCTCAGCTATGAGGAAAGATTAGAGGAACTGAATTTATTCTCTCTTGAGAAGAGGGGATTAAGGGGGGATATGATCAACATGTATAAATACATCAGTGGTTCATATAGTGAACTCAGTGTAGAGCTATTCACCCTGAGGTCATCACAGAGGACAAGGGGGCACTCTTTATGTCTGGAGGAAAAAAGATTTAATCTCCAAACACGGAAAGGTTTCTTCACAGTGAGAGCTGTGAAAATCTGGAATAGACTCCCTCAAGAGTTGGTTCTGGCCAGCTCAGTGGATTGCTTTAAAAAAGACCTGGATTCTTTCTTAGATACACAGAATATAACTGGATACTAACATTTATAGGTAAAGTTGACCCATGGAATATCCAATTGCCTCTCGGGGGATCAGGAAGGAATATTTTTCCCTGCAGGAGCAAATTGGATCATGCTTTGCTGGGTTTCTTTTGCCTTCCTCTGGATCGACTGTGGGTGTAGGATTATAACTTTTAATTTTTTTTAATGGTTGAACTAGATGGACTTTTGTCTTTTTTAAGCCAGACTAACTATGTAACTATGCAACTATGCATTGCATCACCACGCAAAACGCATTACTGCACCCCACTAGTGTGAATGGGCCCTAAGACTGACACCTTTTGTTCTGATGCACCTGGAAGGCAGTTAGCTGATTTAAAAGGTTAACTGGGCTTTAATATTATCATATAGATCAGAATAGTATTGATATACAAGACTGTCATTTTTCATAGGTTGAATGCACTGATACCTGTTGTCTGATTGGAGGTACATTCCGTTGCCTAGGTTTTGTATTTTTATGATAAACATAAACAATCAAATACTTTCAAAAGAACCTCTAATTATGATTTTTTTTCATTTGGAATTGTGACTCATATAAAAACAATCCAGATGGTTTGGATATGAGTCACAATTGAGGATGATCATCTTAATTGGAGGTACTTCTGCTATTATTTAATCCTTTAAAAGTTAAAGAGGAAATACTGAAGACTGCTGACTTTTTAAAAATCAGGTACTTACCAGTTCATAGATTCTAGTGCTGTCTTCCTGCAGCCGATTCTTCCCACCTGTGTGGGTCCCCAGTGCCGCCATTTTGGATTTGAGATCCAGCTGTGACTTCCTAATTATTCAAAGCCAGCTACCAATTGCACATGCATGAGATCCTGCAGCACAGGGAGACCTGCAGCCTCCTGGGACATGTGACGTGCCCAAGATGCTGTGGGCAGGAGAAAATTAGCAGTAAGTCACGTTTTGAGTGAAATTCCCATTTAACCACTTGCCTAGAGGGCACTTATACCCCCTTCCTGCCCAGGCCAATTTCCAGCTTTCAGCGCTGTCACACTTTGAATGACAATTGCGCAGTCATGCAACACTGTACCCATATGAAATTTTTATCATTTTTTTGAGACAGATAGAGCTTTCTTTTGGTGGTATTTAATCACCTCTGGGATTTTTATTTTTTCTTAAAAAAACCAAAAACCACTGAAAATTTTGAAAAAAAAAAAACCCGTTTTTTCTTAGTTGTTATTATACAATTTTGTAAATAAGTGATTTTTCTCCTTCACTGATGTGCGCTAATGAGGCTGCAGTGATGGGCACTGATAGTCTGTACTGATGAACACTGATAGGTGGCACTGATGGGCACTGATGAGGAGGCACTGGTAGGTTGCACTGATGGGCATTGACAGGCATCACTGATGGGCACTGAAAGGCAGCACTGATACATGACACTGATATATGGCACTGATAGGCGGCACTGACTAGCACTGTTAGGCGGCACTGACTGGCACTGTTAGGCAGCACTGACTGGCACTGATAGGCGGCACTGATTGGCATTGATAGGTGGCACTGATTGGCAGCACTGATTTGCATTGATAGGTGGCACTGACTGGCACTGATGGGTGACATTGAAAGGCAGCTCAGATGGGCACTGATATGTGGCATTGATGTGCACTGGTATGCACTGATATGTGGCATTGATGTGGCACTGATGGGCACTGGCATGTGGCACTGATGAGCACTGACTGCTGCACTGATGGACACTGACAGATGGCACTTCTGTGATTGGACACAGCTGATCACATGACCGAGCCGACATCTTCGGCTCTTTCCGTGATCTGTGATCCGCTGTGTCCGAGGGACACAGCGCACCAGCGATCGCCACGCTGCACGCTCCCTGAGCAGCGCATGCGCGGTGGGAATGGAAGGACATCATATGACGTCCTATCAGAACGAGAGAACCACCTTCCGCCCGTCATTGTACTATATGGCGGGCGGAAGGTGGTTAAAGATCACATTCACTTAAAAATAAAGTGCTACTACCCTCCTTCCTCCCCAAACAACATTTTCTTTTCTTTTTTGGGGAGCAGACATTTTCTGTGATACTTTTCATTTGTGCAATACTTGCCTAGGGGAGAATTATGCCAGCTTTTCCTGGGGTTCTCCCACCTGCAACCTCCTGAAACACCTCACATGTCCCAGAAGAACCCAGGACCAGTCCCACGACACTGCTTTGCTTCACGCATGCACAGTGGGGAGCTATCAGACTTCAGCTGGCTTCCTTATCCAAGATGGAGGAGGAATCGGCTCTAAAGACAGCATTAAACTCCATGGGCTGGTAAGTGTCTATTAAAAGTCTTTTAATTTTGAGACTTTTAATCTTTGAAAAACATACTAAAGTTCCATTGTACTTTGACTTCTACAAAGCAATCCTGGCCAGTTGTAAAAAGTGCACAAAAACAAAAAGTCTTCCATTATTGACTAAACTGAGAAAGAAATTGTGTCTTTTACATTATAACTTAATATAAAATATAGACTGTATTGTCATCTAACCTCTCTCCTGAAGGACATATATCTGACAAAATGACCGCCACCCTATATATGAGGGAGTGGGGCTACCGGGGACAGTTTGTACTTGACACATGCTCTTCATAAGAAAATCTGTTCACTCAGCTGTGTGAATGGGGTGTAAGAAGAGGGTGAGATGACATCATCCTACCATTACTAATCAAGGCCCCACGCCGAGGCGCTAATAAGAATGAACCTCTTCGAGATGTGATGTATCCTGACAGGAATGCTAATGAGCTCAGACATACTATCGCTTTCACATCCGATGCCTCACTGTCGAGAAGAGGAGGCCTCAGCAGAAGATATCAGATGTTTCTATGAAAACATCCTGACTGAACGATATAACTGGACTATTTATACAGTGCGAGGCCTACATTTCTCACATTGTACTGTATATGATCCATCTCAAGGACGTGATTGAATTGGAACACAACGCAAGGCCTACGTGATTACCGGAAGCCAGCCTTGTAAAATATGACAGAATTCATTGATGTAATTAAAGCATTCACAGCATAGCTTGCATCCATGTCCATTAAGGGACCATGGAGCTCAGTCCTGCTAGAGACACACACATTTTTAAAAAAGCCAATTCCATTAATAAAATGATATTTAAAGTTTATCTAAAGCCTTTTTCACATTTTGGATAGGAAAAAAGATTGGCTAGAACTACATCAGGTTTGAATTGCTGTCTGTCTCCCTGCTTGGGAGATTTTCTGTTTATTCTGATGTCCATTTTCTCAATGACAAGAAGTAATGGGAGATTAAACATTTAACAGTTGTCACCTGGAGAAGTCATCTTCCAAGGAAAACACCTGTTCTGTTGACTCTTGTCAAGGCTGTTGCCTAGGAGGAGATTTGGAGAGATTTTTCTTCACTTCCTGTTATGTCATCAGGGAAGAAAGTAAAGATTAATATTAATTAGTTGCAGCGAGCAAAATAGAAACCAACAGGGCTTTTAACCTTTTCTTACTCAACTCTATACTAACAAAAAACAAGTTTTGACTTTAGGTATACTTTAGGCTCCTTTCAGATGGGGTGGACTCATGCAGAGATCCCCTGCTGATTGGAGCAGAGCGGGCAGATGACATATCCATGTCTGCTCAGTTTATGTAGAGCGAACATGGACAGAGCTTGCTCTGCTCTATGGGTGGCTACCTCCAATCCAATCTGCCTAAACAGAACAAGATGGATCCCGTGTTTTTTTTTTTCTTGTTAGCAGACTAGATCGGACCCAGAGGTAGGCGGGTGTAAACGAACACACATCCATGTTCATCCGCCTGTCCACAGTAGTGAATGGACCATCTGATCAGATCCACCTGAAAAACTGGCAGGCGGGAACTGATCAGACCAGCCATATGAAAAGGGCCTTAAGTGGAACTCTGAGCAACTGTCCCACCCAACCATTTGAGTTAAAATAAATAGAATGCTAATCTAATCTAAAAGCCCCGTATATAAATCTACATTTTAGATCCTATAAGTCCCGAGTCTTCTATCTTCTTCACTGCAGAGAATGATCCTTCTTTAAGTGCCCATGTTGCTGTCTGGATGATGTAGACACTTCCCATTGGATGTCCAGTGGTGGGGTCCTTTCAGGCCCTGAAAGGGGCAGTGGGCAACAAGACAGGTTGGTAGCTAACCTTAATAAGTAGATGGGAGGGGGGGGGGGGTTAATGCTGCGAAGACATGGGCTTTAAGTTGTAATGGTTTTGAATAACCTGCCATCTGCTTGCCTTTCTTCCAGACTGCGTTTGTGGAATTTTGTGTTTACGCACCCCAAGGCAATAGAGAAATTACTCTTGTGTTACTCTTCCATAACTTCTCAAACATTTTTATGAAGTACAAAGATCACGGAACACAGAAAAGCACATCCAGCAGTAGTATTGCAAAATAGGAAGCAGAACCTGAGTATGTAATGGGCCGAAATGGCTGTGCTTCAATAACTGCAAATTGTAAAAAATAGGAATTTTAAAACATCAATACATATAAAATTTACATCCACAGGTTGATCTAAAAATATACTGAAAATATTATACATTCCGTTCCAATAAAAGGAAGCAGCTGCTCAATTATCTAAAACATTTCACAACACAGGACACTGTTCCTGCAAGTTGATCCAAATTATTCTGAAGTTATTTCCAATAGAAGGGACCTACATACCTAACAGATCACCTGGCTGGCCTACATAGTTATTCCCAGCAGATCGAAGGATGAATTTCAAAGGAAAGAACCTCATTGTGATGCTGTAATATCCAACAAGGGATTTCCCAGTCCTCTTTCCTTTTCCTCATTGTTGGTAAGCTCTGCCCTTCTAGGTTTGCTGATGCTCTTATTTGGGTCACAGTAAAAAGAGAATCAGATTATATGTCATATCTAATTACTGTGTAGGAAAGCAGATCCATCCCTAATGGTGAGGAGATAAAGAGTGCAATCAGCCATAGAGTCTATTCTGAAAATGGAAGTCGCATTGATAGTGTGGCAATCCAAAAGAACCCTGCAGACCAAGCTGAGCCTTGTGATTCTATAGGGCAATATAACTTTACTGGGTTTCCCTCAGACCATAAGTAACTATGGGATGTCCACTAAAAAACTGTTCACATTTGTGTTTTGAAAACAGGTCTGCAATAGCAGTTTCCATGCTTCTAAAGTGAACCTGAACTCATAAAGCTATCAAATAATGAACATCTAGCAATGTTATTGTGCCCAAGAAGTACCCTGAAAATATACCCTTTGTCTTGAATTCCTCTGAAAAAACAGCAGTGTACTTCCTGTGCCTTGAGCTTAACAGCTGTATATTCAGCATGTGGGAGCATGAAAAGTGCTGTGTCCATGAATGTAAGCCTCACCAGATTTGAAGTGACATTTGGTGATGTGACTACTGTGCTATTTCCTGTTCTCCTTGCCAGAGAGGAAGCTGTACCTGAGAATCTGTAGTGCAAAGATCTCTCTGCTCCTACTTGATGAATTCTATGGATCTGTGCTTCCTCTACCTCTCCTGTTGCTTATTCATTATTTCCCCACCATTTATCAGGGATGTAACTTTGACAAGAGGGCCACTTCCACCCAGAGACAAGATGTGCAACAAAGCATGTTATGTCAGCAATGGGAAAAAGATCAGCTATATATTGGTGACTAGTCTTTTGCCCTTTGCTTGCCTTTTTGGGGCACAGCATCCACAATTCAGGTCTTTTTCAAAGTGAGCTTGTGCTTTGCCCATGCAACAATTAACCACCGGAGTAAGAAAGATGTATTTACTCATCTATTTTCAGCCCACTTTGGCCTGTTCACACGATCTTCACTGTGGCAGCAGGGGTGAGGAGGGAGCACTCCAACAACAGCAATTAAAGCCTGGAGCAGTGACATCCCCCATAGGCTTACATGGCCCATACATAGTAAGTGCTCCCTCCTCTCTCCTGTAGTAGCGCTGGCTGACACAGGGAAGCTGGATCATGTGACTGGACCAAAGCGGCATGGAAATAGGTAAATATATAAATTTTTTTACATAGATTAGAATAAGTGTTAGGAGAGGGAAGGAGACAGTTTTAAAGCGGTAGTAAACCTCAAAATATAAATCTATAAAATCTTCTTGCAAGTTAAGAGCCATAATGTGCTAGTATGCATCACATACTACCACATTATGAATGACTTACCTGAAAACAAAGCCTTCCAGCAGAGCATTGTCACAGCTCCCCAAGGCTTCCATCTTTACCCGGTCTTCCTTCTGGGATCGTGGGCTGCAGTCCTTTGACTGGCCGAGCTACGATGATGTCACTCCCACACAAGCATGCCATCCATTGAGAGCA